GTGGTCATTCAGCCCGATCCATAAAATAGTGTACACTGCCAAGGTCGTACGACCAAATCCGTGGATGTATTTCATAATACTACCGAGGTCATAGAACTCGATTCATAATAGTACAGCTGAGACGTTNATATATATATATATATATATTAGTTATGAAACTCAGGAAACTTTCGAACAAATTGTACAACACGGGAGAAATCTGTAACAAAAAGCATAATTTCCGCGGCTAATCAAGTAGCGCGTTAAATATCTAGAATAGTAAGGTTCGATACTCTACGCAGGGCTAGTCTCAGGCAAGAATATGTATTAAAATATTTAAGCAAGCAAGGATAACTCATGTGGTACAATTAAAGCCTGATGTGAGTCTACGTCTACCCGGACATAATCAAGAATCTAGCATACGCATGAACACTCTTCACCTCATACGTACGTAGCTCCCATAACACGTAGCACGTACAAAATATAGCACCTATGGGGTAAATGTTCTCTTACAAGGTTAGATAGGAGACTTACCTCACTCCGAAATCCAATAACCGGCTCCAACGCCTCTCTAACACCTCAAATCAATGCCAAACGATCCGAAAATAGTCAAAGAACGTACAAGCCAATCAAAATATACTCAAGGACTCGTAATTTAATAATTAAAAATAATTTCCAACTCTACACGAAAAGTTAACAAAGTCAACCCCCGAGCCCACACACCCGAAAAATTTCTAAGATAAATATTACCCATAGCACCACGAACTCAAATATATGATTTATTCCCAATTCTATATCCAATTTCTTGATCAAAACTCAAAAATACTAATTTTAGATTTTCTTCCAAAATCCCACAATTTCTACAAATTTTCATGTTCAAATCCATATATAATCCATGTATTTAATTCACAATGAGTAGGAATCACTTACCTTGTGATAGATGATGAAAATTCCTCTCCAAAATCGCCCCAAAATCGGCTCTAATGTGACAAATGAGATAAAATGGGCTAGGTCCCGATTTGCAATCTTATACACTGCCCAGACGTTACCAATCGCGATCGTGGTCAAAAGCCTTGTGATCGCAAAGCAAAAATGCCCCTGTTGACCAAAATAGCCTACGCGATCGTGTTTGACCTTCCGCGATCGCGTTTGACCTTCCGCGATCGCGAAACACGAACAAGCCCTTCACCGCGAACACAGGACATCTTCGCGTTCGCGAAGACCAACTCACCCAGCTCGGCTTCAACCCCTACGCGAACGTAGGCCTCCACACGTGAACAAAAAGCCCCAACCCAGGACATTATGTGAATACGCAACATCACCCACGATCATGAAGAACAACAGCCCCCAGCTCCAGATCACCCTTCGCGATCGCGATGGAAACCAACAACTGCAAATGAAAGTGAGAGATGGCCTGAAACACACCCGAGGCCTCTGGACCCCATCCAATCATACCAACAAGTCTCCATACCTTATCCAAACTTATCCAAAGACTCTAAACGCCACGAATAACATCAAAATCATGAATCGACGATCAATATCATTCTATTAACTTTCAACTTTCAAACTTCGTCGAACGCATCTGAATCATACTTAGACATTCCGAATCACGATCAAACTTCACATACAAGTTCCAATCAACTAAATGAACCTATCTGAGGTCCCGGAACACTACTCGGAGTTTGATAATACCAAAGTCCACTCCAAGTCAAACTTAGTTAATTCCAAAACCTTTAAAATACAAACTTCCGATAATAAGCGCCGAGTCACTTCCAGACTATCCGATACTCACCCCGGGCATATGCCCAAGTCCGAAATCACCTTATGAACCTATAGGAACCTTCAAATCCCGATTCTGAGATAATTTAATCAAGAGTCAAACCTTGATCAACTTTTCTAACTTAAAAGCTTTTAATTTGAGATTTATTTTCCAAATCAACTCCGAACTTTTCGAAAATCAAAACCAACTACACGTGTAAGTCATAATACATAAAGTGAAGCTACTCAAGGTCTCAAACCGCCAAACAACATTCTAGAGTTGAAAACGATCGGTCGGGTCACTACATTCTCCCCCACTTAAATATACGTTCGTCCTCAAACGTGCCAAGAGTCATCTCCGAGCTGCCGAATCACTGTATAACTCCTCGTGCACATACCCGTGCCACCTCAATATATACGAACACATTAGCTCAACCTCGACTGAAGATCCTTCCTGTGACCTTAGCCCACAAGCATTAGAACTAAATTCTAATATCTGGAATTTCCTATAAGGTCTGATTCTAGCATACATACACCGTATCAATCTCAACAAGTTATTCTAAAACATAATCCTACACCCATGTTGTAATCACACAATGCACCGCATAATTCATATGCCAATAGTAATATCTTCCAACTATAATAGCTGCAATTTTCAAACCCGGTATCGGTAATACACCTCATGACACATAAAAATCCTGTTCCAAACCTCGCCATACAGTAATGATAAAAGAGATATGCAGAATATCATAACCACCCGTCAAATCAATAAATCATGGGGCTCCTAAACTCGACAAGAGCCACGGTTGCATTCATAACTGATTAATGACATTCCTCCTCCAAACAAACATTATACAAATCCGATTGCACTGATTTCAGGTCCAACAACCGCATCTCACCCAGTACAAGCTGCTCGGTTGATAAGCCACATCAAGAACCATCTAAAATCACATACGATGCGATCCATGCGTCCAACAAGCCACAACTCAAATATGACCAATAAGGAAATAAAACCCAAGTACAGAACTATCCAGCACGCGTGACAGATATAACAACCGAACAAAATACTATAAATCTATCTAACATAGGAGAAGTAAAACACAACAAATAGTATAAGGAATCGTACATAACATCTCACAGTTGTGACGCGCAACCTGATTCAAATATCATACCCGTGGTAGCGTGCCACCCGATCCAAACAGAATAATCTGCATAGGAATACCCATCAAGCCAAAGTGCTCATACTCACTAGACACACGTATATTAACCACAAGCATGCTAAGTGCATAAATATAACCCTGGGTGACTGATAGCATAATGCGCTACGAAAAAGGCCAAGCACAACTAAGGTGCAATAAACAAACCAGCTTCTCGAGAGCCATCTCACTCATATAACACCACAGAGCCTATACAGGACCACAACACGCATGTGAATAATCAAGTCACCTCACAATCCACAGAACATAAAAGATTAACACATAAAATAGATAATGACAGGAATAACATCCACCCTGCCCGAAGACTCATCAACAGATAAATGCTATGCTGAATAAAAATGTTTGATCTAGTGTAGAATATACATTCACATTAGTCCCGCCAATGGACCTCTAAACCGATTTCGAACATCTCAATATAGGTAAATATCCTTTCAAGATCCACAATGACCCTATATGTGACACATACAATCAACCTTCAAATCCTGAACAAACTTTCACAGTCCACAACCAAAGGAATAGTGCATCTCTCAGACATAAACTCTCCAATCTGCGACAATACCAAAATCTCCATACATGATCCCAATCTCTCCCACTTAAATAACTGACACGTCACACCTACATAATCATCCCATGGGAGATACTCCCACAACCTTCCGCACCAAGTAACAAAATCTGTATATTCATGGCTACCAACCATGCTATTTCTGTAGTGCTAATCAAAAATTTGTAAATCAATACACAATGCCTCTTCCTTAGAACACTATTCTCAGGCGACACTAAAATAGCGCCAGTATACTTTAAACATCTTAAATATCCCTCGCTCCTCCGAGCTCATGACGTCCCTATTGACGACTAATTTTGACC